ACATGGACAAAAATTAAACAGCTTTCAGTTTAAGTAAAGATATCAGACAGCAACTGAAATCTCCAGGAAGAAATGGAGCAAATCAGACACGGTGAATGGGAGGAACAATCTAATACTCTGCAGACATGATCTTACTTTATTCTAGAGCCTATAATACACACAACTATATGATTACTAGAATGCATTTGGGTTTGGTAACCTGTAAATAAATGGCAGTATATAAAACAATAAGGTTGGGAAGGGTGGATATATATTAGGTACAAATATTCTCCACTGCATTAGAATCAAATTAGTATGAATTTGATATTATATTTTAAACAGCTAAAATGTATGTTGCCAGAAAAACTGTAACTGGTCTGAAAATGATTTTTAAATAGAGTTAAATATTGAAGAAATTGGAACACTAGAAAAATACCCATTCACTATAAAGGAAGACAGCAAGGGAGGGATGGAACCAATGGACAACATTATACTGAGGGTGGTGGCCCAAGCACAGAAAGACAAGTGTTGATGTTCTCACTTATACAGATCTTTACATCAAATCTTTAGATCTGTGTGTTTAACTTGGAATAGCTGTAAAATCCAGGAAAGGGGTCATCGGTGGGGAGGGGGAAGAAATACCATATGGAGACAGGGATAGTAGAACACAGGGGATATGAAGAAAACAAAGGGAATAGCAGCTCTGGAAGGAGATTTAAGTGGGGGGAGGGATGGGAGGGTAGGGAAGAGGAGGGGTAGGCAGAGGGATAACTAACACTACAGATATTTGAAAAAAACATATGGAAGCTTAATATTTAAAACTTCATATATATATGAATATGGATATATATGAATATGGAAGGATTTAACTGGAATTACCGAGAGGACAGTGCTTCTCTAAGAACCCAAGGGTTACCAAATAAAAAGCCATATGTATATATGTGTGTATACGTGTATGTACATATTTAAAGAACACAAAGTTGGAGTTGTAGGGAGGAGGCTAGATCTGGAAGGAGTTAGGGAAAGGAGGGAGTGACTATGATCAAAACATAATGTATGAAATTGGTAAAAAAAATAAAAATAAAAAATACTTTAAAAGAAAAATAAAAAGCTCAAGTACCAGGTGAGGTCAGGGGTGTCCTGAGAAATCCCCAAACATGAGAGGCAACTGCTATTACTCATACTTGTCCACCAGAACTTGATATTAAGACCCTATTGCTGAAGACGCCATACCATTTGGTCACAGAACATGGAGAAATGAAGCTGATACTGACCAGGAAGCTTCCTCCCTGCTGGTGAGCTCTCATAGTCCTGGAAGATGCTATGCAGGCTGTTGGGAGAAAGAAGTCATCCACACTCTTACTCAGCTATGAAAATCTGGAGCTACAGGAACAGCTGTGTGACAAATGTTGATGGGTGCAGGAGTGGTACAAATACTATGGCATCAACCAACTGCCTTCTGATTGGACTTCAGGCCTGCTCTAGAGGAGGAATACCTGCCTGAAATTACACATCTGGCCAAGAACCCATGGTTGGGGAGCTCACAGGCTCCATGGGGGAACTTACTACTATTATTTTTCTAGATGGACATTGTAGTAAACAGACATCTTTATACCCCACAGTTCTCACATCTCACAGGAGAAGTTTCTTTGTGCAGTAAACAGCAGTTAATGCAGGAACTCACAGTCCAAGTGCAGAGAATAAGAATCTGTGGAGTACTCAGTCCTGAGTGGGACACCTGGATCACACCATTTCCCCAGAGTATTCAGTCCTGAGTGGGACACCTGGAACACACCCATTTCTCCAGAGTACTCAGTCCTAAGTGGGACACCTGGATCCCACCATTTCCCCAGAGTACTCAGTCCTGAGTGGGACACCTAGATCACACCCATTTCCCCAGAGTACTCAGTCCTGAGTGGGACACCTGAATCACACCATTTCCCCAGAGCACTCAGTCCTGAGTGGGACACCTGGATCACACCATTTCCCCAGAGTACTCAGTCCTGAGCGGAACACCTGGGTCACACCCATTTCCCCAGAGTACTTAGTCCTGAGTGGGACACCTGGATCACACCCATTTCCCCAGAGTACTCAGTCCTGAGTGGGACACCTGGATCACACCATTTCCCCCAGAGTACTCAGTCCTAAGTGGGACACCTGGATCACACCATTTCCCCAGAGTACTCAGTCCTGAGTGGGACATCTGGATCACACCCATTTCCCCAGAGTACTCAGTCCTGAGTGGGACACCTGGATCACACCCATTTCCCCAGAGTACTCAGTCCTGAGTGGGACACCTGGATCACACCATTTCCCCCAGAGTACTCAGTCCTAAGTGGGACACCTGGATCACACCATTTCCCCAGAGTACTCAGTCCTGAGTGGGACATCTGGATCACACCCATTTCCCCAGAGTACTCAGTCCTGAATGGGACATCTGGATCACACCTCTTCCCTCAAAGCTCGGGGTCCTTTGGCAGAGGGAGCAGACGGGTTGTCAAGGCAAGAGGTTGGGGAGGACTGGAGGGCGACAATGCCTTCTGGATATGACAAGACCAGGGCCCTCACAAACTCACAGCAGCTATGGTTGTCTGCATAAGACCTGCATAAGATCAAGCCACTCAACATTCCAGCATGGAGAGGGAAGGTGTCCTGAGTTCAACCCCTCGATGAGGAGCTGTTGACAGCTGATGGCTGCTGGAGTCTGTTTTCTTTGAGGGTGTGACTGCTAGTGTGATAACCAGGCACTGGAGTGTGGTTCCACACCCATGGGTATATAGGCAGCATCAGCTGGACTGTCTATTATTAAAAAGAAGAAGAAGAAGAAGAAGAAGAAGAAGAAGAAGAAGAAGAAGAAGAAGAAGAAGAAGAAGAAGAAGAAGAAGAAGACTTCAAGTTGAGCGGGAACAGAGAGTGGAAATAGGTACGGGAAGAGGTAGAGGTAGGAGGGGTGGTAAATATGATTGAAAACACATTGTATTTATGTATGACATTCTCAAAGAATTAATAAAAACATACTTTAATTTTTTAAATCAAAGAAATGAAAATGCCATGCTATAAAATATCTACCCTTTATACAGGAAGACAGCAAAAGAGGGATAAAATCTATGAACAACATTTGAAGCTTTGAAAGCCAAAAGCAAAGTGGCAGAAGTAAATTGAACCTTAATTACAAATAATTACCCAATCCAGTCAGAAGGCAGGGATTATCAGACCATATTAAAACATGAAACAAGACCCAAGTATACGCTGCATAAATGAAACACACTTTAGATCCAAAGATACAAATAGGCTGAAAGCCATAAGAAGGGAAAGATAAACCATACAAACAGCAACCCTGAGCAAGCTGGAGAGGCTGCATTAATATCAGACAAAGGGGACTTTGAAATAAGAGCTAGAAAAGGGGAGACCACCCAGGAAGAAGACGGTAGCAGCAAGGAGCAGAAAGTTTGGGGTGAGACTCTGGGAATTCTCAAATTAAGAAGTAGGACAAAGAGGAAAGTTCTTTGCAAAAGAAAACCCATATGATTGCATTTCTCTAGGCCATGGTATGAAGTCCGTGCATTAGAACCCCTCAGCCCCCGCTTGCTCGCTGACCCTGCTGTGTTTGACAAATGAGGAAAGGAGAGCTATGAATAGTGACTTCCCAAGCCAGAGGAACAACAGCAGAGCTGAACCTAAAACTTTCTATTTTCTTTCTGTCTCTTTCTGTTTCACCCTCCCTCCCTTCTCTCTGTTCCCTGCCCACCCCGCTTCTCTCAGATCCCTTCCTCTCTCATGCTCAGAGGTCTTCGCGTTAGCCAGGGTGCTCTAGAGGAACAGAACTTACAGAATGAGTCTCTACTTACAGAGAAAGGGGATTTATCAGAACAGCGTACAGGCTGTGGTCCAGCTAGTCCAACAATGACTGTCTATGAACAGAATGTTTAAGAATCCAGTAGTTGCTCAGTCCACAAGGCTGGATGTCTCAGCTGGCCTTCAGTAGACACTGGAATCCCAAAGAAGTAGGCTCTAATGCCAGTGAAGGAATGGACTTGCTTCAGAGGCAAGAGCAAGCAGGCAAAGAGCAAAATCTTCCTTCTTCCATGTCCGTATATAGGCTTCTAGCAGAAGGCATGGCCCAGATTAGAGGTGTCTCTTCCCACCTCAAAGATCCAGATTAGAAGGGGATCTTCCCACTTTAAGCAAAAAATCCCTCACAGATGTTCCCCGTTTAGGGGCTTTAGTTAATTCTAGATGTAGTCAAGTTGACAACCAAGAACAGCCATCACGGTCTATCCCACTGTTTTTGGACCCTGGAAAGTATACAGGTGCAGTCTGCTGGGGTCTTTGTAGAACATTATCAAGATTTCAAGTCAATGGAAGTAATTCAAGGTGTCCTTCAATTATCTTTTCCTTCATGGATGACTGGCTAGCTTCCCTGGGTTTTAGTTTCCTTATCTTTCAAATGGAAAGCCACACTCCTCAGGAGATATAACTGCTAAGGATGAATAAGGAAAACACCCTACTTTTAGGAGTCCATGCACTGGATTGAAGAACACAGCCACCCTATCAAAGATCTTGAAGACTTGGAGAGACCCTAAGGGACATTTAAGAAGTAATGCCCCTGCAGTAAAAACTTGCTCCACAGGCAGAAAGAAACAATTAGGGAGAGTCTAGAGGCTCTACGACGTTGTGGTTTAGATGCCAAAGAAGAGCCATTGCAAATATCCCAATGACTCCAGATGTTAGAACCCACCAATGACTATGGGAAAGCAAGTGCATGGCCACTATCTTCTGGAAATGCCAATGACTCCTTATGGCCTGGACACTGCAAGTGTTTGTTGATGTTGACACATGACATCAGTGCCCTTGGGTGGCTTTTATTTGGGAAAACCATCAACAGACAAATCCTCTCATTCTCAGAGGTCCCTGAGAATTCAACAGAGATAAGCTAAGTTTATGGTTTATATCCTTCATAATGGTTTCCATGCTTCCTCACTGGCATTATCTGCGATAAGAATCTGACCCCAAGGCTAGTCCTGAGTCACCACAGTAGAATCAAATTCCTTTATTTAAGAAGGAGGGGGAAAAGGAGGAGGAGGGGATAAAAAGGCTCTTATATACAGAATTGTTTTTAGTAATGGTAAATAGTAATTGTTTAGAATAGTAAATCATTGTCACAATAAATACAAATGGAGCCAGCTCCTCTTGGAACATAAGCAGTGATAAGGAAAAAGATTAGGTGACTTGGGAAACCATAGAGCTTGAGGGAAGGTCTTAGAGCAGAAGGTCTCATCTAACTCACAAATGAAGAGTGAATTTGACATGGGACAATGTAAGGAGATTTATTGGTATCTTCCCACTGTTATGTGAGCATGGAAGGTTGAGCTAAACATTTTGTTTATTTATAAACTCCCTGCATGTTATGCTATTGCTCTGGGCTCAAGTTGCATTTCACACATCTCATTTCCTTTTTCAATTCTTAGCATTTGGGCACAGTAAGAATTCTGACACTCAGTGGAAGGTGACCTTGAGGGTTGTTGGCAACTTTCCTTATTACTGTCAATAGAAGAAAGAAATTATAGATGCATAAGTCTGCTTTTCTGCTGATGCCATATAGAGAACTCTCAGATAGCTCGGTGCTCATGAAAGAAATGAAGTTACTGTTGACCATGCTCTCTGTAGGACATTATAAGTCAATTAAATTGGACTACTTAAGTGCCCTTGGTGAGATACAGGTTTGCATGTTTATGTGAGTGCATATGGGCACCTGCACATTCGTGGAAGCCAGAGATCAACTGCAGGGATAAGTCTTCAGGAGGCATTCACCTTGTTTTCTGAGACAAGACCCTCCCTTGAACCCGTAGTTCATCTCTTCAATCAGATTGGATGGTCAGCAAGCCCCAGGATCCAGTTGTCTCTACCCACTCAGCACTGGGATGACAAACGCATGCCATCATTCCTGACTTTTTTATGTGGGTTCTGGAAATGGAACTCGGGTCCTCATGCTTATTCTGCATGTACTTTATCGACGGAACCATCTTCCCCACCCCTCAGTCCTCTCTCAGTTTGGCGTTCATGATGTGGAAAGTAAGGAGCATCATGACTTCTTAAAAGAAAGTATAATGGTGGAGGGGGAATGGAAGGTGGAATCCCTAATCACCCTCATTGCTATAATTCATCACCTCTTTAAATGTTTAAAAAATCTTTGGGTTTTTTTTCTTTTTAATTAAGCATGGATGGTACTATGAAGAAAGAGCAAACAAACTTGCTGGCATTTATAGTCACCTTCTATCACCAAAAGTGTTTACTTCTGTGTATGCAACTTATTAATATTAAAGTATAATGTCCATTCTTATTTCTTGAGGACTACGAGTCAGCTAAATATAACACATTTCTCTAAGTGTAAATGAAAGCCAACAGTGTTTAATATAGAAAACCACTCTTAAAACCTAACTTGCTTTTACTAGAGCCTAATCTTTCCTTGAGATCTTATTTCATTGTAAAGATTTTATCCCCTAAAACTCCATTCAGAACGCACTAAGCAGATTGTCATTAATGAGGGCCCTGCATCGTGGTACCCTGCTGGACTCCGCGCTGGAGCTTTAGAACGGTGGTGCTTCCCAATCACAACAGCGATATCCCAAACTGCTCACACGGATGTGCCAATGGGCCTGTGGCATATCACTCTAAGTCCCCCAAATCCGAGAACACTGGTTGTATCTATTCAACAAAAACATCGCCTGTTTAGAGAGATAACCAGAGAAGCAGAAGCAAATCAGCTCCCCAAGTGCTTTCCCCGACACTATCTAGTTATTCTTCTCTGTAACCTACCACAGAGGCACCCCTAATGCAGCTACTTAAAGAAGGAAGCGGGGGTTACGTGTGTGAGGGGGTAGTTTCCAGAAAGGGCTGCTATATCAGGAACTACTCACTGCCCATGTCAAATTGGGATGAGCAGGAAGTGCCTTTCAGTGGTTTGTCTCTGGGAATGGGCGTTTCCTCCTCAGCACCAATGATCTGATCAACGGGGCTTCTTAAACTGTCCAGGAATCCTAAGCTGAGTTGACAGGAAGGAGTTTTTTTTCTTCTCATTCTGACAAATAAAATAGCCATAGGCTTCCTACAAGGAGGCAACATCAGTAAACAACACAATAGTGTCAAATAGTCCAGTTGTTATTCCAGCTTTGGAGGTCCTCCTCAGGATCTCAGAATTACCTCTTCTAAAGTAAAGGAACATGACCCACTGGTACCCATCTCATCTTGGAACATGGACTCCTTTGAGAATCTGCAGAAGTAATGCTTAGCTTCTCCTCCCTGAAAAACACACAAAAATAAAAAACTTCCATTAATTATTCCTATTCACAAAACCTGCTTTTGCCTATTCAGGTGGGGGAAAACAGACACAATAACGCCAAGTTGCCTGCCCGCGTTCCTGTAACCCTGAACTTGGTCCTCTTCCAATTACTCATCGCTGCCTTTTACACTGGATTATACCCGGGGGTCCCACAGCCACCTGAGGAAGTCACATCCAGGTTCTGTGTGGTCCAGCTTTCTTCATCCCTGGAATAATGTCTCTCACACGTATCTATACATCAGGTACTATGCCAGCTCATTCTTTTCTTCTATATCCCTGACCTCAAGCCAAAGAATCAAAACAGAAATCTTGCCTATTGGTTTCACTGTTGGAAAAGTCCCACAGAATATTGTTTTGCTGGTGTCTTCTGTGATTAAGGTGAAGCCCTTTCAAATGGTTCTGGCTGTAGTCAGAACACTCAGTATTTTTCTGATCAAACCTAGTTCCCTTCTCAGTACTGGAAGCATGTGCTTACAGTCAACATTTGTGTCCATTTTCATGTTGACAGAGTTGTGACCTCCACATGACTTTCCCGAAGAGACATTTCTATACCACACTGTTTTTTTCTTTAAGTCAGTGCAATTGGTCAGGGAAGATCAACAGGTGGGTAGTAGTGCTTATTTTCACAAGCAGGAGAACTTGAGTCCAAATCCCTGGCACTCACATAAAAAGTGGGGTGTGACTGTGTGTGCCTGTCATCCCAGGCCTGGGGTGGCCAATGACGAGAGGATCACTGGGGTTTGCTGGGCACCAGCCTCGATCCAGGTTTGATAAGAGATCTTGTCTCAAAGTAATAAGTCTGTCTCAAAGTGATGGACACACAAAGGTCTCCTTTACCCTCCAAACATATATAGTGTCCTGTGTACCAGCACACACACACCATACACACAATACACATTATATAAACACACACAATACAAAACTAAAAAATATCAGTACTGCTGCTTAATCAAGCAGTTCCCCTTCAGAAATACAGTTTTATCCTTTTTTCAAAGCAGAGATCACTTCTCCCTGGATCTTTCTTTCATTGCCATGTTAAAATCCCCATCCACTTTTCTTCGTCCCAATTCTTATAGCTCATGGTGCTATGTTCATGTGGGAGTTAGTGGTTGGTCCTGTTTTTCTCTTCATGCATCCTGTCACTTAGTACAATCAGGCAGGTTTACAGCTCATTATAGACTTGCCTCTTGATGGGTCAGTTTAAATGAAGGTTGGTTAAGAAGAAAGAAAGAAAGAAAGAAAGAAAGAAAGAAAGAAAGAAAGAAAGAAAGAAAGAAAGAAAGAAAGAAAGAGAGAGAAAGAGGGAGGGAGGGAGAGAGGGAAGAAAGAAAGAGAGAGAGAGAAAGAAAGGAAGAAAGGAAGGGAAAAAAAGAAAAGAAGAAAGAAGAAAAGGCCATTCTTCAAATGAGCCCAAATTCTCAGGCGTTTTAGTAATGGACTATTAACAGCAGCCCAGTTTGTCCCCATACATGCTGAAAACATGGAGCCTGCCTTGGATATGGATGCTTTAGCTAAGAATATTCCTCTCACTTCTATTTTCTTTCACTGTTGAGAAGACTTTAGAAGGTTGCCTTTCAGAGTGATAGCATGAATACTCAGACCAAACCAACCAGGCTCTTTCTATAAATGAACATTCCACGAGCCTAACGTGGAGTAGCATCCATTTCACAGCTCAGCCCTAAATGCCTCCTGGTTGTAATTAAGTACTTCAAAGTCTTCCAAACACCCTTTTAGAAATGACTGCCCCAAATACAAAATGATGTCCAATCAGATGTAAATCATCCCACAGCAGGGAGGGAGAGGCACGGGAAGTAGTCATCAGCACTTGGACTAATCAGAAAGTCTGGTCCCCTGATGAGGATTTTCGTCTTCTCATTTGTCATTCTAGCCACTGAGGTCTCAAGTGGCCAATTTGCTCCCTATTGGTAATCAGCTGGTTATTTTTACTCATTCCTCCCTCTGGGACTGTCAGACTCCTTGGAGCAATTCATCACCCATTGGGGCCAAACTCTTCTATGACGGGAAGTGAGGGAAGAAAGATAGTATTCTGCGAAAGATAAAATCGAAGAGTATTTCATCATTTATATTCAGTTTTTAAACAATGATTTCCCCAATGAGGTAAGTAAAATAATGACACAGCCGCGTAGATATGGGGGGGGGGGTGGGCGGAAGAAAACCAGCTCCAGGCTAAACACATTATGCAATGGAAATTGTCTCCGGCTGTGAAGTTTGTTACTCTGAAATGACGTGTTCCTAGATTGTCTTTACAACTCCCCAAAGAGTGTCATCTTACATTCATTACTTACTTTGCAGGAAGCTGCCTCTATGAAAATTAGAAATGCAGAAAGGAGCCTATTAAGGCTGTAAGAGACATTAGTGGTTATCCTAAACCATGCTACCCTGCCACCTGGGAGGGAAGGTAGCCTTTGAAGGTTATTTGGTCCGAAACAGGACAGTGACTGTGTTCCAGAACATCCCTCCTTCCACTGGCCCCCACCAGGACCTCTCACTTACAGCACCTCGCTTGAGAGTGTCTCCTTCATTTTCCTCCTTACCTCTAGCAGTTGCTGTCTCTAACAAAATCACTTCCAAACACGTTTTTAGGTGTTTCATTTCTCCGAGGTCACCTTGGGAGCCACACCAAGGACTGTGCTTCTCATTGCAACGGTGTCTCTGATGTCGGTACATTTTCTAACTAGTGGGTGTCTGTGTCCCTCTCCTCTCCGATTTCCCTCAGCCATTCTGAAGAAGCAAATTTCAACCCCTCAGGGCCGACTGTTCCCCACAGCCAGTGGTTCATATTCCCCCAGTGCAGGCTCAGCCTTGAAAAAGATGTTAGTATGACAGAAATTGGCATTTTCCTGGCATTTCCTTTGCCCATAGCCAGCTCTTTATTCCTTGGAAGGAAGCTAAGAGTTGAACAGCCCTTCTAGCTGTTTCCTTAGAGACTGCATCTGGGCAGCAACATGATCTGAATCTTGAAATGCTTGCTTTCCTCCACCAATTTCACTGTCTTGAACCTCTTCTTGTGTCTTTACACTCTATAAATGCTGTCCTGGGTGACTTTACTTTTAGGTGTGCCTTTCTATAAAGAGAATGCAGAGAGACAGAGAAAGCACGTTTACACACCCATATCAAGTGTTCTAGCTTTTCATCTGCTAATTCCCTCCAAGCACGGCTGTTTGCACACTAAGTGATGTCACCCAGCAGCTGTCTTGGACTGGAAACTGAAATGCCTGTGGATTTCCAGTCTTTTGTCTTACCTATCCAACGATCTGTCTCCTTTCCAAAATACTAGAGTAATAAAGAAATGCTTGGCTCCCTTTGCTGAGAATTGAATCCTACAGCTTTAAAGAAAATCTTTCACAATTTACTCACCTAATGTCTTATTGTAATTGTCTGATTCAGTTTGTAATTGTCCAATTTAATTCTAAATTTGCTTTCAAGAATCATTAACTATGATTTCTTATGGAAATGAACTTTTATATTTAGTGAAAAAATAGATTTTTATACAAGTCTATTTTCCAATTTGCAGTTTTGGGAGAGGAAGTGTGTGTGTGTGTGTGTGTGTGTGTGTGTGTGTGTGTGTGTGTGTGCCCATTAGAAAGTGTACATTAGGGTGGAAGAGATTATAATTTATCTGCCCAGTGTCCCCAGGTTTACCTAAATGAGAACCTTTATATTTGGTGTAGTATAGGCTTGTGGATCTCTTAGTACAGTGAGCGGAGCTTTCTGTATCCCATTTTACACAAAAATTAGTTTAATTACTTATTATCTTTTAATGAGTATCCTTATTATTCATTCTTACTAAATGGCATACTATTACACACACACACACACACACACACACACGCTTTACCAGTGAAATCCCGATTTCTAAGATTCTCTCCCTTCCTCCTGATCTTCTACATCCTGGTCTCTGTCACCATGACAATTTGCATCCTCTGCTCCTTGCCCCTGTTTTGGTGATTGTGTTCATTCTCTATTCCCCCAAATGTTTGTTTATGCAAGACTGAGACAGTCACCAGTGAGTGCTTCTCCAGATTGCATTGGATCACCTGGGGGCCATGCAGACACTGCTTGAAGCACAACACAGTCTTATACACTTTATCTATTTAACCAACACCCAGACTGAGGAAAGAATCCTGCAATTGGAGGGCACTTGACCTAATCATAGCAAACAAAACAGGAGCTCCTATTTTGCTATCTCCCCGCTCCCCTTTAGGTCATCCATCTTTTATAGATGTAAAACAAAAACTGTTAGCTGGTGAAGGTTCAGAAAGAACCATCCAAGCCAAATGAAATTAAAGAACAGGACCATCCTTTGTCTCAGATCAGTTGAAAAGAACTCATGCCGATGACCTAAGATCCTATCAGATTTTGTGTCGGCTATTCTCAGTTGCCAAGGGAGCCTTCCTGTGAGATGGATCCATCCTTCGCAGGGAAGCCAGCTCTCCCAAACAGTCAGGAGCACACCACTACAACGTGCTTCCTTACAGGAGGCTGTCACACTTTCTACAAAGCCGTTTCTTAGCATTTAGATGAAGTTAAAATAGCATGTCTCTTCAGGGACTTAAAATCTTGCTTTCCCTTGGGATCCTTGCCTTGAAAACGTCAGCGAAGCTCAGAAATGACTAGGGAAAGGCTCCCTGGCTGAAGGCCAACCTCAAGTACAATGATTACATCATGAGCTACGCCATAGGAATTACTTTCCTGGTTCTTGTATAGAAGCTGACACACAGGACTGTGCTTTTCCTCCTCTCGTGTTACGATCATCTGCAGATGTCAAACTTTCCTGTCCTGAATGGGTACAAGCTGTGATATTACCATTCAAGGACTTCCAGTAGCAGCAAAAGGAAAATTACGAACCAACTCCCCTCGGAGAGGAAGTGCCTATTCAAACAGCCGATGTTGGCGGTGAGCACAGGCAGCGGCTACCTCCTTCCTACCAGGAATGGCCCAGTCTCCAGCACTGCTGCCTCTCCAATCACGGGCTGTTAAGATTGGCATGGTCGGAGGATGCTTGGCAAAAGCAGTATTTGGCACAGTCTCACTTATCCCATAAGCACTCAGGGAACGAATTGGCTACGTGCATTTCCCCCAAAGACAGAATTGTGCTTGTTCATTGATTCTGTTTAATTTATAACAAATGCCTTAAAAAAAAAAAAAAAGGGACACACACAGCTTGGAAGTCTTCTGCACATTCTAATGACAAATGTCCCCAGGATTACAATCTCTTTCCTCTACTGGAATGGGTTGTGGCCAGGGAAGAGGTAGAGCATATACTGCAGACAGGAAGGTCCTTTGCTGCGTCAGCTAATATATCCTTCTCTCATTTTGAATCCAAGACTGAAGAGAGCGTCATTGGTGCTACCGTTCTGTTCATATTTTATTATCTCCCAAGAACCTTAATTTCTAAGCTCTGGTGCCTGCTCTTTGCCCGGGTCACATTTGGGATGGAATAACTGGAGGTTCCCAAGAAGGGGGGCCCCTCCCTAAATGCCTTTCCCTTCACCTTTCCCACACTCCTTGTTTTTAGGGTCAAGACAAGACACTCTTTTTTTTTTAATGGCTTATTTATTTTTATTTTAAGTGCATTGGTATTTTGCCTGCATTTAAGTCTGTATGAGGGTGTCGAATCATTTGGAGCTGGATTACAAACGGCTGTGAGTTGTCATATGGGTGCTGGGAATTGAACCTGGGTCAACTGGAAAAGCAACAGTGCTTCCAACCCCTGGGCCATCATCTCTCCAGCCCCAAGACAAGACACTCATGCTTAGGGTGGTGGGGCTGCCTTCCTGCCAAGGGCTCTGCCTGGGTGGCACTTGAAAAATACTGGATAGTTGGATTCTTCTCATTGCTAATAACTCCAAATGGAATGCCTTCTGTGACAATAGTGATAAAGGTTCAATGTGGCCTTTTCAAATCTCTTTTCAAAACACAAGTAACCCTGATGAAGATCGTGCATTACTCTTGTAGTTGTGTGACAAGACACCCAATAAACAACATAAGAGAGGAAGGCTTTGTTCGGCATAGAGTTTGAGGGCGCAGTGAGTTCAGCATGGAAGGTAGTGTGGCAGGAGATCAATGCATCCACAGTCAGGAAGCAGAGAGAGGTGGAAGCTGCTGCTCTGTCACCTTCTTCTTACGGGTGGGTCTTTCCACCATCTTCGCCTAACATAGAAGCTTGCTCACAGACACGCCCAGAAGTTTCTCTCCTCTGATTCCAGATACTGGCTAAACTGGCACTATTAACTGTCCCAGATGGCATGTAAGTCATTGGTATCAACATCATTACTTTATTCCTTCGTGCAATTTACCCTCACATTTGTAGGCCTGTGCTCTGCACCAAGGGGACAGCTTTTAAGAGGGTTACACATAGTTCCTTGCCTGTACAGCCCCATTTGCTAGGACAGACTCTGGAACAGCAGATATATCAAAGTGTGATATGTGTAGGAGTCTTAGCAAGAGGGGCTTCTAAGGACTGGGCCCGAGACCTTGACTACGCAATGTGGGTCACCTCTCTCTGTTTGTTATCAGATTCTCCCCTGTGTGCTACCCCTGATGAGGATGGTACCTACTGGCAGGCATCAGGGCACACAAAGGCCCCGTTACCATGTCTCCCCTGGGATCTCAGCTGTACTATGACACCCTAAGTTGGCCTCCTAATGAAATTCACATGCCACCTTGGAGTAAACATAAATTCAACTTAAGATAGAGAAAGGGGAACAGACAGACAGAGACAAGAAGATAAGAGAATCAACAATAGAGACCAAGGGGGAAAAAAGATACATGGAAATGAGAGAGAGAGAACATGATCATGCTGAACTTTCCAGTAATCCTACTGACAGACATTCTTCTTTGTCTAGGAGAACACATATATAAAGCTTGACACAGGACACCTGGACATGAGTCACATGCCACACTCTCACCACACACAAACTGGCTTTTGACACATTGTCTCTGTATCCTCATTTGCAAAATAGGGCTTGTAAAGATTCAATCCCACAGACTGGGCTGTTTCAGCACTGGAATAAGATCAGCAAGTTCCTGCCCACCAGCTGGGCTCTCAGTGGGTAGAAATGCTTTAAAACACTCCCACTCGTTGCTCTTCATGTAAGTGTGCATATGCACAGCACGTATCAAGGACTACTCTCTGCCTTGGAGTTGCTAGAGTTAAAAGGTAAACCAAGGCTGTGAAACTCTGGGGTACCAGAAAGATGGGATGTGGACATTTTTCTCTCAAATGTTTTCTTTCTCATCATTTCCAGTGTGTGACCATGGTGTTCCTAATATCTCCAAGCTCTCACACATCAGTCATTTCCATCTGTGCTGGTCTGTCTTGATAAGCTTGTTATCTAGTGATCATATCCAAGTTTGCAGGAGTCTACATGTGTGTTCTTTGGCACGTGTTCATGAACATCCTCATGAGGCTGTAGGGAGATAGAACATACTTGCTGTCTGAATATACTTATATTTGGCAGGCAAAGTCCTACATTGTGTGGCTCTAAGAGCCCATGGGGATGGAGAATTGCAGCATGAGGAGATGAGGTCAGACTTAGGGGAGACATCGATGAAAGCCATGCTTGCCAAGTCGAAAGCAATCAAGTTTGTGAACAGTTGGTTCCTGATGAGCACCTAGAAGGATGATAAACTAACTTCTTACCTTTGGTGCCTGACAGTCTACAGTTCATCAGCAGAAGAGAGTTCGTCTTAGGGAACTGAGAGTAATGAACTTTTAGAAACTGTTCCAGTTTGGATTTCATGTGACCCCCCCCCCCCAAAAAAAAGACTTATTGTAAAAGTCTTGCTTTCCAGCTTCTAGATCTACAGAAAGCTAATTGGACCACAAAGACTCCACAGTCTATTGAGGGATTTATAATGTGAATGGCACCATGCTATCGTTGGGAATGGCAGAGACTTAGAAGGTGGAGCTGGCTTGGAGGAAGCAAATTTCTGGAATGTGTTCTTGAGGGCCGTGTCTTGTCGATGGGTCACTCATGAAGCGAACATCTGTGCCCTACTATGCTCTTCCACTGTGACATTCCATCTTACCACAGGCCCAGAAACAATGGAGCCAGCTAAACGTGGACTGTAGCATCTTAAACTGTAAGCCAAAATAAACCTTTCCTCCTGTTCAATATTCTCTCAGGTATTGCTCTGGGGAACTGCTTCTCCACATCTGTTGTCTGCCCCCACTAAAGAACAAGGCCATTAGGACCATGCTGCAAAAGAGCACGAGCAGGAGGACTGAGCAAGGAGAGAGGCAAGCGAACGCCCAGATTCAGATCTCCTGGTCTCTCAGGGAGTGAAATAAGGTGACATACTTGAGTCAGGGCTGACAGTGCACAGTTCTTCCTAGATTTACAGTCCCCATCAGTCCAGGACAGAGGAATGAATGAGGAATGTGCTAGAAGGCAGAAGGTCGGCATGGTAAAGGGGCAGCCAGATAGGAGGGAAGGCAGCTCAATTGAAGGAAGGGCAGGATATTGGCAGGCTGAAGAACAGTGATGAGCTGGACCTGAGTTTACAATCCAGCCACACATCACTTATTAACTGAATAATCTTGAACAGTCTCTGTTATTCTTGTTGAGACCCAACTTCCTCATCTGAGAAATGAATGATATTGTTCTACAGCTACTGTAAGAATTCCAAGAGAAACTATGAGAAAGTACTGGTCCCTAATATATATTGGTACTTAATTTGCAGTAGGTCTTTATTTTTCATTAATCCATTTGAGAGGGTTAATGACCACAGTATAATTTAGACCTCTTAAAAATCTTTCCTTCTTTCCTCAAAGGTGACTTTATCACTGACTCTTGTCCAAATTGCTCTATTTAGACTGTGAGCTTGTGTCATAGGCCCCTTGCCACAGCTACTCCACCTGCAACCAAACTCTCCACCCTTTGGTGCTGCCTTACTTCTGTCCCGTGGGACCTTCACGTCTGGTGGGTCACATAGCTGACTTAGATTCATTATGTCCATTCCATGTCATACTGGCATGAACTTTTGCCTCTAACACATTGTTTTTGCAAGTAGAAAGCAACATGACAAATAGTAGATGCTAGGCAATATCTACTGGACACATTACAGAATAATCAAATAATCACTAAGGTAAGGGCCCAAGGCTGGTGTTTCCTGAATGTATGTAATGTTTTGGAAATTCCTATTAGATCCTGTTTTCTCCCCCATAAAATAATAATGATGCTCTTTTTCTCAGGCTAGATTCAGAGCATGGCCGACCAAGCATGCCCACCAAGAGCAGCCTACCATCTTTCAAAATGGGAAGAGGATCTGGAAGAAAATAGCAAGGAGAAGCTTCCTCCACACTGCAAGAACATCAGTGTAGGCTTCAAGATGCCCAGGGAAACAACCAAGACACATATACTGACAAGAAAACTTCCTGCAAATGTCTCCAACTGAGGGAGGCTCTTGTCCATTATGGTGACCAAGACGAAGAGGCAGAGGGGCGTTGCCATCTTTCAGGACCATCTCCACTGCATCCATAGGGAGGGCTGTTCCAGGAGACAATGTAAGAATGTGCCTGTGTGCCCTGTGCCTGCTTCAGGGAAGTGAAGATGGGCAGCATCGTTACTGTGGCCCAGTGCAGGGTCCTGAACAGGACTGTATCCTTCAATATCTGGGGTTACTAAGGGCACTGACACCAAGAAGCAGTTCTATGAAGTCTGAGACCCAACGGTATCTGACCCCAAACAGAGTTATTCTCCCACTCAAAGAAAAAAAAAGAGCAACAAGTATTGATGGTAGTGGTTTCCAAGCTCAGAGAGTGAAGTGAGATAATCCCTGAGGAGCACTGGGCAGTACCTCCGGGGTGTAATCACTACTAACCAGAACAACTAAAATACATGTTGAAGAGTTTCTTGATTTAAACACTAGAATCTACAAGAAGACAATGAACTTTCTTTCAGACTTCTGGACCCTGGGCCTACACAGCCAGTCATATGACTGCCTTCCCTCGGCACCTCTCTTTTCACACACTCCTCCAAAATTGCATACCACGTGGTGGCCAGTGGGAGGGTCAGGGGCTGTCACAGGTTTGTCCCACAGTTTGACTGGTGCTGGGATCAGGTCAGTGCAGCTGCCCACAGCTTTGTCACACTCCTATGAGTCTATCTTGCGATGGGAATGAGAATCATTGTCACCGGCCTTAAGAATCTGATAACTCCACATTTTCTCAAACACAGACCAAGGCTCTTCATGCCAGCAGACATCATCATCTGGAAATGTGTGTGTGCTCATGCACGATTGCATCCCTGAGGCTGGGGATGTGCAAAAGCCACATAAGTTTCTGGCTAATGGGGAAGGCAGCTGTCACATTTTCCTACATCCCTTCCACTCATACATAAACCTTAAGGTAGATTACTGGAATGCATTAAAAATGAAGCCTGAAGCCAGCTCAATTCTTAGCTGTTTTGCTTCTTTGGGGAAGAAGCTTAACCTTTCTAAAAGTAATTAAAACTAACATTTGTTTACATGTCAAGTACTTCATATGTATTAGTCATCCATCCAGCCATTTGCTTGTTTAACCAGCATTGATTGAATGCCAGCTTTCTGCCAGGCACTGTGGACACAAAGTTGAATTGGACATCTTTGCATCTTATATCATAAAATTTTAATATTGATGATGGAGGTAGGGAATGAGCAATCATTTGCATATCTATTTAATCATAATTTGTTGTCAGTTCATTCATAAGGACTTGGTAAACTTCAATTGCTTGACTGATGAATTGTGATCAGTACTATAAAGCAGGTATCTAGGGTGATTCCTTTTTCCAGGTTGGTAGGCAATGGCCTAATCTGAAAACTTGGCCAAGACTTCTAAGGAGAAATAACCTTTGCATTATAAATTTGAAAGTTAGATGAAGTTTATATGTGTAGTCTTATTTTGGAGATCAAAAAATAGTAACTCAGAAGGTCATATAACTTGTTGAAAGAGCTGGAGTCTAAAACAAAACAAAACAAAAGAAAAAAAAAAAAACAAACAAACCCAGGACTGAGTACTTTGTCTAGAGGAGACTGCAGTTCTAGAAGTAGGAAAGTTCAAGACCAGGGACAACCTCTGAGGGAGCACCATAGCATGTCATAAGACGGCATATGGCATCACACGGCAGAGCAAATGTTAGAGCTGAGTGACACTCCTGCAGGAGACAGGGTTGCATGGCGAGAAGGAGGCAGCTGAGCAATCCCAGGAACCTGATGTGCTTTTACAGAAACCAACTTAGTTCCTTGAGACTCAGCCTAGCTACAGGCGAGCATCCATCCTTCAGGAATGGATCTGAAGGCTCAGCTGGGAAAGTACTCGCTCAGAAATACAAGGGCCTAGTTCAGATCCCCAATATCCACATAAAAAGCTGTGCCTGGAATCCTAGCCCTGGGGAGACAGACAGGAGAATCCCGGGAGTTTCTGGTCACCCAGTCTAACTGAATCAGTGAAGTCCAGGTTCAGTTAGAGACCTTATCCCAAAGATAAGGTAGAGGTCAAAAGAAGGAGATGCCCAACATTGACCTCTGACTGCCATGAACACGCCCACATTTGTGCATAGGCACTCATACAGAAAAATATTCACATACATGAACACACACACACACACACACACCCCACAAAGAACTGAGCCCCATAATCTAACTACCTATTCTGCTCCCATCTCTTAACGTTCCAACACTTTTCAACTGGGGGCATGAAACCTTGAGGGAACAAATAAGTCCTGAGCCCTAACACACTGTACTTCCTGGTGTCCATTTTTGATAGATCCAGTTCTAACTCCAGACCTGATGTTCTTTCTGGCCGGCTGTGGCTGATGTAATTAGAAATATATTTTAATATTGCTAAAAATATTTTTTTCCGAAGCCTATAAAATCTGTGGCTGGGGTCTCTGAAGAGATTCTGGTGAATCTGGTCCAGTGGACTAAGAAAAGTCAGTGTACATTTGTGTGGGTTCCACAAGTGATTGGGTGCAGAGCACTGGGGAAAATGTTGTCTGGGCCTCCCCGCCACTCTACTCCAGGACTTACAGCACTTCACAGTGCTGTAAGGAAATACCACTGTAAATCAAGGCTCTCAACGTCACCCTCAGCCCCAGCACTCTGGACCTTGGGATCTCCATGAAGCTATGGCTACATCAGTGCTTTTCAACCCTCAGTAAATGACAGTCATCTGCCCCAGTCTGGACAACTGGCCCTGAATCTCCAGGGAAAGAGTCCAGGAATAGGCACTTACTGGAAGTTTCCATTTGATGGAGTCGCAGATGATCTCAAAGGTCCCTTCTGACTTGGAAATCCTCTGCATCTACGAAATAAGTCAACACTACAGAACAGTGGCGAACACAGGCAACACTTGAGAAAGCTCAGCTCTGGGGAGTGGGGCTGGGTGCTGACGCATAGCCAAGACCCGCTGCTCTCCTTGGCAGTGTCTTTGTGAAAATAGTAACCCTTTTTTTTTCTCCCTGACTGATTTATGTGACAGTTGGAAAGCAGCTTCCAGAACAGCATGTTCCTCCCCTCAGACTATTAACATAAACGTGCGCATGGGCTCCGGGCTCCCACTTCTCTGTGTACACTAGGCTTAAGGGGCCTTGAAAGCCGCAGGCCAGCTGAAGAAAAACCAGAGAGAGGAAGTGTTGTTAGAGACACAAGAATGAAAAGGGGAAAAGGACAGGAGGTTGCTAAGAGACAATGTCAAGCTGGGCCATGGGATTAACAGCCGAAATCAAAGCAAGAACTTAATGGTATATTCTTGCAGTAGCAGCCTTCTCCAAGCACAACGGGGAGAGGGTGATTACCCAAGTAATTCCACTCCAAATCAGGCGGAAAGGGCCCCCTTTCCTTCTTGGCCAGATGAAATGTAAAGACCAAGTGATTTAAAAAATAATACTAGCTAATACCATCCTCAGGCTTAACTGAAGGCTGCCTTGCGATCTTTTCTTTGCTGCTGAGTACTAAGAATCACTAATGCCGAAATTATTTTCAACCTGTAGGTTGAGAGTGGTCAAACATTTTCCGAGATGTATTTGGGAGGCTATGGTTTACCAAATGACTATGATGATATTTCATAGCCCCGTGCTTTTGTTTCACATAAATCGGTTTGTTGGATTTCAGCAACAGCCTTGTGAACTGGTTGTTTGCCCCCTAACCCGGCACCTTTGCAGAAGAAAAGGCATCAAGAGTCTCAGCAATTTGTTCAAAACGACTCAGCCACTGGGGAACAAGGAACTGGGGCAGGAGTTCCTAGGAACTGGATTTGAACCTTGCTCCGGCTGACACCTCACACTCTGACTCAGTTTTCACATGTGAAAAATGGAGACACAACGTACAGAGCTGCTGAGCTTAAAGATAATACAATACACACGCTATATGTTCCCAAAGTAACTGTAGATGCTATGCTCCTCCTCCTCATTATCATCACCACCACCACCACCATCACCACCACCACCACCATCATCATCATCACCATCATCATCATCATCCTTGTTTTGCATTTCATGCTTAGAATTCTGAGATACACAGCAAGGAACAAGTGTTTTAGTGGGTTTAGGTATGCAAGAGGCTAGTTAAATGGTGAACCTCCTTAGAGAAATGGAAAATCTTGCTGCCATTCATTGGGCCAAACACCCACCAGCTACCAAGGCAGCATCCTTTTGGGGTTTATGAAGGGTCAAGAGCAAGAGACTTCATGGGGTCAGGTTCTGTTTTACAGCAGGTGCTTGGTAGAGCGGGAGGAACTGGTGACTTCTGTCTGACTAGCTACCAGAATCCTTTAGGGGCTTGGTCACACAACTTTCTAAGCCCTGGCCCTTGAGTGCCTGAAGCCACAGATCTGTGATGGCTCCTGAGAAACACAGGCAAATGGAAACTTGCAGCTAACACGAATCATCAGCCTGCTTCTGAAACCACTGGACATGGAGCACAAGCTTTAGATCCAGAGCTTGGGAAGCAGAGGCAAAGACAGAGGCAGATGCAGTCCAGTCTCTATAAGTCTGAGGCCAGTTCACACAGTGAGTTCAAGATCACCCAGGGCTACATAATAAAAGCCTGTCAAAAACCAAAACAAAGCAACTAAACAAACAAAGGAATGAACAAATCCTACCACCCCCTGGTTGATAAGACTTGGAAAGCCTTCCTATTCATTTACGCCTGGAGGATTCAGAGGAACTGGTGGAATTATGTTTTGATCCAGAGAGACTATCACGGTCTTCCATTGCGCAGGTACACACCAACTTTCAACCTTCCTGGGCTCCATGCTTCACGTTTAATACAGTGGCCTGCACTGGTGGAAGAAAAGACCTTGAGAAGGGTTTGTGTGAGGGCAGTGCACAGACTTGTATACCAGACAGGCCTGGGTTCAGATCCCAGTGTGGAATTAAGGAGGGAGAGAGGACACACTCTAGCTGGGAAAAAGAAAGATATGGAGTATGGGGGCTGTGGGCCCACCCTCGAAGGCCATGATATTCAGAGTATTTAATGTCACCACCATCAGCTACATAATGCAAGTGAAAAGCCAGCAGGAGAAATAAAATCCTCAGTTATGGTTTAGTAATTGCTTTCAAGACAGCAGGAAATAAAAACGCTCCCAAGTCCTTGTATAGTGGCATGTTTCCCTTCGTGGACTAGCATGCACATGAGTTACATTTTCATGGCTGGCTTTAAATTAGCCTTAATTTCTCTGTCAAGTAGAGTTAAAGTTCACTGTAAGATATTTCATGGCTTGTCTAAAAGTGATGATTTCAAGTCTTCTAAATATTTATGCCAGTGTTATTATTTAGGAAAATAACCAAGAATAAAAGGCTAGTCTTCACCGCTATTATTGGTCTGGGGTTCTAACATATGTCCTAAAATAGTTCATACTTGGAAATTGAGTTCTTCATTAAAATGCCACTGCAATTAGATATGTACTGGAAAAGAATATGAATGCTGGCCTCTTTCTATCTACATAATCAGAGACAATATTCATAAACTCTTTAAATATTTTTTCATTTTGATTCAAAGATAATTGTATCTGATTTTGATGGTTTCAAGGAAGGTAGAATGAGAGAACCAATATTAAGTGCTGGTAAAAGTTTGGCACATACTAAAGGCTTACAAAATAGTAGCACTCATCTTTGTTTTGGTCCAACTCAATTTACACTAAGTATCTGTCTCCTGTGGCTAAGCACCAGTACCTCCCTGGATTTATGTCCTCTCATCTGTGAAATGGGAATAATGATATACATTTACAATGTTGTCAATGTGACATGGGTGATGACTCCATGCAAAACACCTTGCATCCTGCATATTAATCAGTGTTGACTTATGTGCCATTTGCAGGGATGATGTGCTATCTTTTTTGTCCAAAACTCTTAAATCTTTCATTCAAAAACCATACCATACATTCATTGGTATAAGTACATCTCCATCTATTTTGGAGCCCTAGAAACATAGTAGCCCAAAGGTGTGTTGTCACCACTTTCGGTTCTCAGGGAGGGCTTCCCTTCACTGAGGAAGAGGCCAAGAGCCAAGTGTAAAGAAGCAGTGTTGCACCTAGTGAGACCCCGGGCCCTTTTGCCTAGGGAACTTCCGTTATTATCTTCTAAAATGTTATCATCAACCATAACACTGACTGACACCAGATACAATGCAAGAGACTAAGGGCAGAGTGATTGTGTTGGAGATTTTATGACAACTTGACAGAAGCTAAAGTCATCTGAGAGGAAGGAACCTCAACTGAGAAAATGTCTACATATGTCAGGCTATAGACAAACTTGTGGGGAATTTTCTTAATTAGTCATTGATGGGAGAGGGCCCAGCCCAGTGTGGGTGATACCACCTCTAGGCTGGTGGTCTTGGGTTCTATTTCTTAAAAAAAGAGCAGTCTGAGCAAGCGATGGGAAGCAAGCCAGTAAGCAGCACCCCTCCATACCCTCTGCATCAGGTACTGCATCTCTGTTCCTGCCTCCAGGTTCCTGGCCTGTTTGAGTTCTGTCCTGACTTCCATCAGTGATGGACAGTGATGTGGAAGTGTAAGCCAAATAAACCCTTTCCTCCCCAAGTTGCTTTTGTCATGACATTTCTTCACAGAAACGATCAACCTAACTGGAACAGTGATAAACCGCTAGCATCATCTCTCCCCCATGGACACTCCGGATGAGAGAAAGAGTGTTCATTTATCTGGGGGTGATGGGGCTTGAGGAGGACAGAATTTTGATAGGGAGATGGGGAGAGAAAATGCCTTGCCTAAAAGAATACCCAGAGCATACGCATGGCTGATGACATGGAGTCAACTAGAGGTGATGTGAGAACAGTGAGATGGGACAGGGAATCCAGGCCGGTACCCAAGACCTCCAGACTCACGATAAGATGTGTGATAGACACCATGAGCCACTGAAAAATTCTGAACAGGGGTTGTCATGATCAGATCTGAGTTTTAGGAAATGCATCCTGGCTGCTTCGTGGTGAAAAGGATAAGTAATATGGAGCAGAAGAGGGAACCTTCAGTTTCTTTTATCTGCTATCATAGTAAGTGCTCCGTCCTCTGAAGTGAGTGTAAGAAGCAAGAGTATAGGGAAATGTGAAATTCAGTGTGGCTATTTCTTCCTGGGGCATTTAGAGGAAGTACATACGGTGCTCACTAGACATGACACATAATTTCTGCAGGAGACAGTTTCCAAGATTGTGGTCAATGGACTTCACATCCTGATGTCTCTACCCTTGAATAACCCTTTCCTCACGAAGGGGTGCTATACCCGATACTTCCTTTTAGCAAGAAGAATGTAGCTAAAATAATGAGAGGAGACTTCCATGGTTGTGCTGCCCAAGACTGCTGGCATGGTTTCCCTGTCCTCACTTGCTAACCCCACCCTCTCCTTCGAGCGTTCACTTTGATGAAGCTCCCAGTAGAGAGGCCCCACATGACAAGGAACTGAGCAGTCCAACCATGCTCAAGAAACCAGATTCCATCACTCATCACTGAGGAAGCCTGAGGACAGCGCCAACCTTAGCTGGGAGAATCATAGCTAGAGGCAGCGCCTCCTTGTTGCTTGAGAGACATCGCAGTACCAATGAGTTAGATAAGCTATGCCTGGCTTCCTGACCCACAGGAAATGTTAGGCCAGAATTTGTCCGGTTTTAAGCTCCTAAGCTGGGACCAGTGTGTTACACAACACCTGGCTGGATCCTCTCCTGTGACGTCAGACATCAAGAGAAGGCACAACCTTGAGACGCGTGAATGACAAATGTTATCGTAGATGGCCAAGAGAGCAGAAATAACAGTGGATGACAAGGCAGGAGAAAGCTTTACTTCTGGCCGGTAGGCAGGTGCTGTGATTCACAAAGAAATCATGTGAGCATTCTGGGCGGGGTTAGGGAAGAAAGGGTGTCAGGGTCCGTGTGGGCTTACACACACCCCTTAAGTGAGGCTCTCAAGGTTAAACTCTAGTTTCCACTACAGGTAGTAGCGTGACTTTTTGAGGATTAATAATATGATCTGGTTTTGCTTTCTATGTTGTGCTCAGATTCTTGTTTGGATATTATGATCCTGCATTCCTAAATGCTCTCCCAAAGACATTTATTAATGAGTTCAGCAGCTGGCTCTGCAGTCCCCTCCACATTCTTCTTTCCCTGTCTCTGGATTCTGAACCCAATGGTGCAGTCCACAAACCCTTAATGCGTGTGTCTTTTCTATTCATCATCTGTCATTTTTTTGAGCCGACTTGGAAACAGTGTGGAAAGTCTAGACTCAGTCAGACCTGAGTGTACACTCGGAATGTCCCCAGCTACTGGGTCAAGTTCCTTGCTTGTTTGTGGCCCATCAGGAGTTCATGGGTTGTGACAGTTCCCTCTCTCCAGCCTAAGCCTTCTCATTCAGCTTAGAACAGAACTGTCAGGGAGTAGGGAGCTACCACTTCATTGCTGTGTGGGTTCAAGGAAACGGGTTAACCTTTCTGAGGCTATCTGTGGGACCGTCTTGAGGAAGGTAGCAGAGCTAAGCAAAGGCCGAGCACAAACTCCCAAATGCGCAGATCTGCGATAAAGCAGCTAACCTTTGTGGTTTCTTACCTGCCCCGCAAACACTACGCTCCTCCAGAAGCTGCCAAGCCGGCAGCTGCCTGAGACATGTCATAAATAGCCTGCAGAGCAATTTGCTTTCAAAGAGAACCAGGCAAGGGGGTGGGAGGAGGCGGCCAGCAGTGGGCCCAGCCCTAAGTCTGGACAAATTTGGCAGCAGCAAAGATACACGCGGCTCAGCGTGTGTCTCTGCAGGGCCTCACCAGCTCAATACTGTCCTGAACCCCTACCCCTGCGTTCGTGAGCAAGATCAGCTGGGGCTATTCCATGGCACCTGTACCTATCTATTCTAAAGCTGGAGTTGCCTGAAATTGCCTTGCTTGATTTCTTTCTTTCTTTTTTTTTTTTCTTTCTTTTTTTTTTTAGTGCCACCACGGCCTTCCCCACCTTCTGCCAAGTTTGTTTCTCTTCTTAACTTCTCTGGATGCAGGAGGAACAGATGCAGGGACTATTTGAAAAACTATGCAGCACACCGAACAGCTGCTGCTGGCACTCCACACCGTTGAGCTTAGAAAACGATGTGAGGCTGGTGGCCGCACAGGTCACACAGCAGCGTCTCCTGTCACCAGATACTCGGCTTCTTCATTTTCATTCTGGAAAACGACACTGATCTCCTAGCCCTGGGTGGTGATGTGGTTGGCTCCATCTTACGGTTGAGCTCCAGGGTAAATAGCGGACAGCCTCCTCCAAGAGGCCCTTCCTGATAACCCACAGCGTTCGGTCCTCCCCATCCTTGCCATCATTATTACCTGCTCTTCAGTAACCTATTACATTTTCTTCTCAACGCCATAAGAGTGTGTCTACATTTAGGGTCAAAGCACTGGTTAGTAGCAGCACCAGGATTGGAATTTTTAAAGCACAGTTATGCCATCCAACATGTTCGTCAAGTATTGCTGTTGAGCACTTGAACCGTGGCAAGTCCAAACTGAAGTATTCTATAAATACAAAATACATCCGAGAGTTGAAAGACTTAATCCCAGTTGGGTAAGCCTTATGCAAAATGCTTGGGACCCAAAGTGCTCCGTTTTCCAGGTTTTTCACGTTTGGGGATATTTGCATAGACTTATTGATTGAGCACACTTAATTCGAAAATCTGAACATCCTCGGAGCTGATGTGATCCTCAAAAGGTTTTGGTATTGGGGCATTTCAGATTTCTGAGTTTTTCATTAGGCATGGCCAACCTGTGTGATAATGAGGAGGTGGTTATTAAACTATGCCATTAGTGTATTTTACATTGATTGCAGTATAATGATAATTTTATACATTAGGTTAAATAAAGTAGAATATTGTGATTAATTTTGGCAGTGTCTTACATTTCAGTTGTATTTCTGTGGACAGCACTGATCTATCCCTTTCATTACTGTACCAGTAAGAACTGAAATGCTAGTAGACTTGACAAAGTGTCTCTACGGGTACTACTGGCACCAATAATTTGGACTCCTTTCTATGGGTTTCAAAGTTCATTTGTTTAAAAAGAATAGAAATAGTGTCTTTTTAACATTGCACATCCATTAGGTATCTACTCTATACAAACCAGTATGCAAGATGCTTCTTCCTGCAGGTACAACCTAAGTTAATCAGGAAGGACCAGAAACCTAGCACAAGCTGCCCAGTATAAAAGGTTGAGTGCATAGAAGACTTGTGATATAATTCATACATTTGAAGGGAGAGCTGAGTGAATGTCAGAGATGAGGATCCAAGGTCATACCCTTCCTCTCTCAATTCTACTTCTGTGTGAATTGATTCCATGTTTTCTTAACCTTTTCCTCCTGTGGACATCGCTAGAGGCAAGTTGGAGGTAGTTTTCAGGGATGTCTTGAGTATGAACTCCAAACAGCATTCTTATTCATTGGCTGTGTTGATCCTGTGAGGATCCCTGGTACCAATCACAGGTGAAATATGGTGACAGGTCAGTCAGGCCAACCAACCAGGTGGTATCCTGTGTTCAATCACCTAAACAAACAGGTTGGTTAAGTTGATGGTGAACCCACATTAAAACCAAATAACTAAAGTCAGGGAAAGTGCATTTCCAAAGCAAAGGGGGCTATTTTTGAATTAAGGAGATCTGCTTACCACACAGAGAGACAGGTTCATGAGGCCCACATTACTGTTTTATCTAGGGAGAAATTATGGATGTCTTGGCTGAAAGTAAAGACTGTGACACTGGCATTGAAGCTTCCGAACAGGAGGAAAATGTAACAGGAGATTAAAAAAAGAAAGGTGCTGTTTGTTTGGGGTGTGTGTGTGTGTGTGTGTGTGTGTGTGTGTGTGTGTGTGTGTGTGTGCTGTATGAGAATAATGAGCCTTAGACATGAACCTTCCTTTAAAACGATAGTTCTCAACCTAAGGGTCACGACCCCTTAGGGGGCTCAAACAACTATTTCACAGGGGTCACCTAAGACCATTGGAAAACACAGATCTTTACATTACTATTCATAACAGTAGCAAAATCACAGTTGGAAAGTAGCAAAGAGAATAATTTTATGCTTGGGGTTAACACAGCTTGAGGAACTGCATTAAAGTGTGGCAACATTAGGAAGGCTGAAAATCGCTGCTCTAAAGGCATCTTTGTCCATGATGTCTGTTCCGGATCCCAACATGCTCATGCAGTCGCTGCTGCAAGGAGTGAGCTGGACCTCTGCACCTCTGACTTTTGCGCTGCTGTCATGAAAATGCCAGACAGAAACAACTTGGCAGAGGAAGAGTTTGCTTTGGATGACTGCTTCCGAGGTTCTCTGGCCGTGGTGGTGGGGAAGACATGGCTGTAGGAGTGTGTGGCAGAGGCTTGTCACACAAGAGATCAGGTAACACAGAGTGTAGCTTAAAACTAGGGGGCCAGGCTCCAGCCTGCAGAGATGCACCTCCCTGATCCACTCCTGCCAACCAGGCCCCACCTCCGAAGGGCTCCAGGACTTCCCAAAACAGCACCACAACTGGGAACACCTCACACATGAACCTGTCGGGGACAGTTTATATCCAAGCTCTAACAATGTCTTATCACCTCTGGAACACCGCTGCTAACAATTTATTGAGTTCTAACAGTGCAGAACAGAATTAAAACCAGTTCTGGTCTGCTAGACAAATGGAGCATCTCACTAATATTATCTGACCATGCCCTGCAGAGAAACAAAGTTTTTGCTCTTTCTCCCTCTCTCTGTGTCTCTCTGTGTCTCTGTGTGTGTGTGTGTGTGTGTGTGTGTGTGTCAAAAAGAGACTTTTTGGTCCCTCCATAGGAAATGTGTTTTCTCTTTGTTGGGGGTTGGGTTTCCCATTTCCAGCTTCATGCTTTAAAGCTGTCAACTCACCACTCACCTTCCCCCATCTCCATACACACAGACTCTCTCCCACAAGAGTCCCACATTTGGACACATTTCTTTAGGATGGAGAATACTGGGCTTCAGGACCAGATGAAACTGCAGATTCTGAATAGATCTTGGCGTGGTTGATAAGCCCACCCATGTCTTGGAAGCCCAGTGGATATGTTGAAATACATATATGTATCTATTCTCACTTCATGAAGAGATGTTTGGAAATGTGTGTGTTACCTTCCTGTATTTCTGGAATGATAAATCGTGAGTTTTTAACTCTCCTATTTTCTTTCTGGCTATTCAGTTCCATCAGTACAAAGAGATGAGACTCTAACTTTTCAGCCAGGATGCTGGGGTCCTATCTCAGCTACTAGGCCAGAAAGAGTGGGGTTTGCTGTGCATGTCTGAAACTTCATAAAAGTAAGAGTTCGTTTGTGGCTGGGAGGCTCTCGTTTCAAGAAAGGGGTGGAGAATAAGGATCGTTTACATGGTAACTCAGGGCTAGTGTGTACTGCACCCAGTCATCGTGTTCTTGGACCCCTTGGAGCTTACATTTCCACTACGTCACCTTCACTGTGCTTCGTGGAAGTCACAAGCAGGTGGGCACCAGAGGCTGACTTAGCATCAATCGCGTGCTAATGTTGGACAAATCTGGGGAGTTTTCTTTACATTAATCCTCATGACACAGGATGCAGCTTTTCTGATGTGGGGCACACTGATCCTTTCTACAGATCACTGGACGTTAGGTCTCTAATATGTGCAGTGTCTCGGGAATAGAGCTATAGAGAGATGTTCTTAAAAAGGGGTGAGTAGTAGTTGGGGAACATGTTTTCTTTCCTGGAAGCTTTCATGTTTAATTAAATCTGTGAATTCCACATTTTTCCCCTTCTTATTTTAAATCCCAGCCAACTGGGGCCTTGCCTTTCTGGCCCAGACAGCAACCTACATGTCTAGCTTTGCAGGTAATGGTGGTGATTCATTGCTGTAACCGAGGGAGGGAAGAAACACACACAGAGGGCTTCTCTCTCGACAGAGTACAGAGTGTCGTGTTTGGAACAGCCGGTAACTTCTAGTTAAACATTGCCAGGTTTATTTTAAAGGGACATTCCATGGCTTTGTTTGTGTGCATTTTTGATTTTTATGTTTGAAGTTATTTCAGAGCAAAGAAAAAAAAAGTTAATGATTCATACACGTAACCAAGTGTGGGGTTGTAATTATTTGCCTAGGTAAGACACCGGTAACCATGAGATCAGAATACCCCATTCTGTTTAATTTTAGGCATTAAAAACAGACAGAGCTTTTAGCGATAAAATCCTTGGTTATTTTTTTGTTGTAACTCTATTATTTTTCTTATTCTATAATGTATGAGTTCTCTTCTACAATGTGATCCACAATATTGCCTTGATGATTTGAGTATCCAGAAAACAAGTAATTTGATTTTTATCCTGAGGTGAAAGAGGAAATAATTTGGCATTCAATGAATAATACGTTTATCTCCATAATTAAACACCGGACCAAGTGAATCAGATATTTAGTAAATCCCAAAATATTAGGCAAGGAATTCAGGATTCAGAGTTCTCTGCCTTGTTACTACCCCGTGGCCTTTGAACAAGCTGTTCCACTGCCGACACCTCCCTGTCCACTCCCTTTTCTCTGAGTATCTCCTACTCATCATTTCTCAATTTAGTACCATGTCCCGGAGACTGCCTGGCAAGTTTAGTCCTCATGGAGTACTCTCATTTTTCTTACAAAAAATTATAACTCATCGCATCTGGTCAACATTTATGGTCTGTGTCGAGGCAGTCATCGTGAGGTTAGGATGGCTGGAATGTCAAGTGTCTGCATTTATAAAGACTCTGTTGATATTAATTAATCCATTTAACTGATATTCCATTCCATCTTGGTGCAAGGCCGAAGTGGAAAATGATTCCCACTTAAACCTTAGAGGTTAAGGAGTCCAACCTCTGTCTCCAGACGAGGTCTATCTTGGCTTTATGATTAGCTAAAACTTCCATCCCATAAAGGGTGCTGATGACCTCTGAAAGTGTA